TACAGCCTGTGACAGAAAATTGTCTGTGCAGGATCACGTCTTCGTATAGCCCTCATATAACGGCACCTCCCGATATTCGGTATTTTGATGATTTCAGCGACATTATACACCGGAAATGTTTCAAATTTGGTATTTGAAGTTCCTAATGAATACTACAGCCTGTGACCGAAAACTGTCTGTGCAGGACCACGTCTTCGTATAGCTTACATATAAAGGTACCTCCCGATTTTCGGTATTTTAATAATTTTAATATATATTTTTTTTTTTTTGAAAAGTGTCAAATTCGTTGCAAATGGTGGAGGGTATTCAGAGTTCGACCCGGCCGAACTTACGGCTTTTTACTTGTTTTTTTTAGAATTTTTTTCTCACTCACTGAGGTCTATATTTCCACAAAAAAGACCCCTTAGCATACCGAGAAAGTTTCTTCAGAGATCTATGGATTTTTTTTCGTTACAGAAAAAGACTGCTCCGATATCTGAGGGAGTCTTTTCTATTGAAAAGGTGTGAAAATGTTTTTTTTTTTTTTTCTAAAAATAGTTCCATTAGATAGCTAATTTTTTTCTATAGAAAAAAATCTCCCCAAAAATCTGGGAAATTTCTTGACATACAAAAATTTGTCCAGAGAAATCAGAGACCGCATATGTTTCTATAAAAAAGTCTCCTCAGATTTCTGGAGATATTGAAATAAAATATCAAAGGATTTTTTTGATAAAAAAAAGAATCCAGTCAATCAATCAATCCGAGTCAAAATCTGCCTTTAAACTTAATTTTTTGGGACAATTTTTTTTTCTAAAAAAAAAAAAATTGTTTTTCTAAAAAAAAAATTGTTTTTCTAAAAAAAAAAAGCTATGATTTTTTTTCTATAAAAAAGGCTTCTCAGATCTCTAAATTTTTTTTCTATAGAAAAAAGTCTCCTCAAAAATCTGGGAAATTTCTTGACATAGAAAAATTTGTCCAGAGAAATCAGAGGATTTTTTCCATCGGGAAATGTGACCTCATATGTTTCTATAAAAAAGGCTTCTCAGATTTTTGGGGATATCGACATAAAGTGTCAAAAGATTTTTTGATCCAAAAAAAGAATCCGGTTCAAGAATATTCAATCCGAGTCAAAATCTGCCTTTACACTTCATTTTTTGAGACAAGTATCAAAGGAAGAGTTATTCTACATCAAATTTCATTGTGAGTTTCCGAACAAAAATAATTTGTATATTCCATATTTAACATGAAAAAATATTATCCATTTTTTATCCATAAAAATACATTGTTTAAAAAGAAAAAAATTCATTTGTTTCAAATTTTCTATAAATTTCACTGTAGCCTGTCTGGACTGTTGAAAATTCTAAGTTGATCGGATATAATTCCTTTGTATATCAAAACCACAAAAGAAGATCCGAGTCCCCAGGCCAAATGTGGATAAAGTCTTTATTTTGTTTTGGCTGCTTACAAAGGGACAATAGGAAATAGTTTGAGTTATGTTTTGAAAAATTTAGGATAGAGCTTTGAAATTTCTCTTACATGCAGAACCATTGGTAAAGAAAGTTGAAAATATGCATTTTAAGTCCTTTTTTTTGGTATAGCCCCAATGTAAGGATAAATCGGGGTTTCACTTATTTTTTAACGTTTTTGGCCATGTTTACTCCAAACTCTTATAAAGTACGGTTTTAAATAGTTTCTGTAAAGAATTTCTTGCATTTAGGTAAGATTTAGACTTTTGATGTCTCTTAGGACCTATAAAGGAGTTAAAAATGACTTTTAACCATATTTTCAAAACAGGACGAAGATGATTTCTTTAACGACTCTCTTGAGGTTTAAAATGTTCGATCAAAATATTACACAACTAATTTGACCAGATACACGTGTCTTCTTTGTTAGCTCTAATTTCATAATCTCATCCAGCAGATTCTCAGTAATTATTGGAAAAATATTGAATTTTGTCGCACAGTGTAGATGTAGACGATAATTGATTTTTAATTCACAGTAAGTGAAACCGAACGTGTAGCCAACCAGCCATGAAATCAATTAATTTAACTTATGCAATATGCCCCCGAGTACAACAACAACAACCGCAACATGTATGACAGTCATATAATTACAACAACAAAGAAATGCATATACCATGTTGAAATGATAAGGCGAATATTCTATTGAGAAATAATGAAAATCTTGCCAGCCTGTGAGGAAATTTTGTTAGGAAAGGCAAAGGATTGAAAAGTGTACTCGAAAAAAATAAATAGAAAAAATTTTAGTTTTCCCGTCGGATAATTCGTTTTTGGTTTCTAAAAAAATGGTAAAATTTTTTAATGAAATTTTTAATTTTTTTGGGGAGGTACCTGCAGGTGCAGGCCGTTACATCACATCTACACACCAGATTTTTGTGTTAGTAAAAAAATTGAGACGTGTGAAATTTGAAGAGAATCGAATGCTTATTTCGATTTTATGAGCATTTTGGTTATTCAAAATGTTGAACCCTTTGTGGGGGAGGTACCAGAAGGAGTGGTCCGATATATTCCATCTTCACACCAGATCTTGTGTTGTTAGAAATATTAAGATGTGCCAAATTTGAAGACAATTGGACTCATACTTCACATTTTATAAGCGTTATAATTATTCAAAATTTTGACCCCTTTGGGGGGGAGGTACCAGAAGGAGTGAGCCGATATCTATCATCTTCACACCAGATCTTGTGTTAATAATAATATTTAGATGTGTGAAATTTGAAGAGAATCGGATGTATATTTCGCCTTTTATGGGAGTTATAATTATTCAAATGTTTGACCTCTTTGTGGGGAAGGTAGCAGAAGGTGTGGACCGATATATTCCATCTTCACACAAGATCTTGTGTTAGTAGAATTATTGTTATGTGCCGAATTTGAAATTAATTGGATGCTCATTTCGCATTTTGTAAGCATTTTATTTATTCCAAATTTTGACCCCTTTGTGGGGGAGGTACCAGAAGGAGTGGGTCGATACATTCCATCTTCACACCAGGTCTTGTATTGATAGCAATATTAGAATGTGTGAAATTTGAAGAGAATCGGATACTTATTTCGCATTTTATGAGTTTTATGATTATTCAAAATTTTGACCTCTTGGTGGGAGAGGTACCAGAATGGGTGGTCCAATATATTTCATCTTTACACCAGATTCTTTGTTACTAAAAATATTGGGATGTGTGAAATTTGAGGGAAATCGGATGCTTGTTTTACATTTTATAAGAGTTATGATTATTCAAAATTTGGGTCCCTTTGTGGGGGAGGTACCAAAAGGAGTGGACCGATGTATTCCATCTTCACACCAGATTTTGTGTTGGTAGAATTATTGTTATGTGTCGAATTTGAAAGTAATTGGATGGTCATTTCGCAATTTGTGAGCATTTTAGTTATTCCAAATTTTGACCCCTTCGTGAGGGAGGTACCAGAAGGAGTGGTCCGATATATTCCATCTTCACACCAGGTCTTGTATTGATAGCAATATTGGGATGTGTGAAATTTGAAGAGAATCGGATACTTATTTCGCATTTTATGAGTTTTATGATTATTCAAAATTTTGACCCCTTTGTGGGGAAGGTACCAGAAAGAGTGGTCCGATATATTCTATCTTCACACATGATCTTATGTTAGTAGAAATTTTGAGATGTGCCGAATTTGAAAATAATGGGATGATAATTTCGTATTTTATGTGCATTTTGATTATTCAAAATTTTGAACCTTTGTGGGGGAGGTACCAGAAGGAGTGGTCCGATATATTTCATCTTCACACCAGATATTTCGTTTATAGAAATATTGGGATGCGTAAAATGGAAAGAGAATCGGGTCCATATTTCGCCTTTTATGAGCATTTTAGTTATTCCAAATTTTGACCCCATTGTGGGGGAGGTACCCGAAGGATTGGACTGATGTATTCCATCTTCACAACAGATGTTGTGTTAGTTGAATTATTGCGATGTGCCAAATTTGAAAGTAATCGGACGATTATTTCCCGTTTTATGAGCTTCGTGGTTATTCAAAATGTTAGTCCATTTGTGGGGAGGTACCACAAGGAGTGGTCCGATTTATTCCATCTTGACACCAGATCTTATGTAAATATAAATATTGGAATGTGCCAAATCTGAAGACAATCCGGCTCTTATTTTACATTTTTTTAAGCGTTGTGATTATTTATTAAATTTGATATTTTGTGGGGGAGGTACTTTATGAAGTGGGCCGATATTGTCCATTTTCGGGCCTGCCCTAACACTTTTTAAAAATATCTGGATTTACAATGTTTGGAAAAAATTGGATGATCTTTTCTTGTTACATGACCTAAATTACATTGTCACAAATTTTGACTTCTTGTGGCGGAGGTACCAGAAGGAGTGAACCGATTTCGCCCAGCTCCGAACCCGATCTAAGTTAGATAATAATATTACGATGTAGCAAGTTTGAACTAAATCGGATACTCCCTTCGAGATTTATCGGTCAGACAGACAGACGGACTAACTCCCCTAGATCGACTTCAAGTGTCTTGAAACGGATTTGTTCCAAAGGGACCTAGGGTCTCAAACCATTATTTTGATGAGACACATTTTGTCCGTATCAGATGGGATATACCCTCTTTAGCCATACGGCTGAGGTTATAAAAATAAAACTCTCTGAATTTTTGCAACAACATTTATAGGTTAGTTTGAATTTCCAACCCTTTGCCTACCACTCGCTTTCTCTCATCCATCATCACCACCACATTTTCACATTGTTGTTTTGTGTGCTTTTTCCTTTTACTGTCTGTTGCTCATCTTCGTTGCCGCGCCAGCACGCTCCTTACTACCCTACCATCTTCATCCGTTTTTGTGTTTGAATTTGTTTTTATATTTTTAATTTATATTTTTTTTTTGTTTTTTTTTTTTTTTAATTTCCTTACATTTTTCCCCCACCCAAACCCAAAAAACCACCACAACCTGTTTTCCTTACGCACTTTTACACCAAAAATAACAACAAAATCCCAAAAATATTGGAAATCTGTAGAAGATGAAAATAATGGCTCCAATGCAACCTCCTTCATGCTAGTCAGCAATCCTGAAGAAGCACAAAAACAACAACAACAACAACATCAAGAACAAGAAGAAATGTTAATAGATATTGAGTGTGATGATGAAGATGAGCAACAACAACAACAACAACAACAACAACAACCGCAACAACGGAATCGAACTATTTCGAATTCCCGAAATTCTGCCATTTTATCAACTGTCGCCAAATTCACTCTAATCGATAGTAATGGCGAGATCTTTGGCAATGCTACCGCCCGGCAACCCATGTTGCTTACGAATACCGCATCCACCACCCCCTCTGGTGGTGGCATACGAATTGTCCCGCAGCCGGGCTTAAATACCAAGACCATTAGTATTCCCCTAAATGGCAAACAAATACCCATAGTGGCCGCCATGTCATACCCATTGACCCAAACGCAGCAGGCCTTGAACAATGCCAGCAACAATAGCGGTGGTGGTGTCGGCGCGGGGTCCATTGTGCCACGTCACAAACAATTCACCCCCCTAACACCACCGCCAACGTCCAGTAGAAAATTTGTTGAGCCCCTACAATCTCGTATACGCAGTCACTCAATGTCCTCCCATAAATTTTCAGCCCACCACCACCATCATCATCAGCACCACCATGGAGGAAACAGCAGCAGCAACGGGGGAGGCAATAGCATGATGGTCGATGACATACCACCGACGCAACAACATCCCAGCAGTTTTGCACTGACATCGAATTCACCGCCCCGACAGGGTGGTGGCGGCAGTCATTACATGCACATGATGACCGGTGCATTGGGATCCCAGCAGGCAGGATCTGCAGGTGGAAATGGGCATGTTACGCCTAGAAGGCGTACCATAAGTTCCACAAGTAATGGGTAAGTCAACAATGGCATTTTCTGATAAAACTTTCAATTTTCAATCAACTTTCGATTCCCCACCCCCCCACCACACAGGGCCGGTACCCGTGAAGTCCACAATAAACTAGAGAAAAATCGTCGTGCCCACTTAAAAGAATGCTATGAACAGCTGAAAAGTCAACTATCGCTAAAGGATGAAGATCGTCGAAAAACCTCGAATTTAGCCATTCTGGGTGAAGCTTTAAAATGTGTTGAGGTAAGTTTTGAGATTATATTTCCAAAATATGATTTTATTAAATCGTTCTTTTTTTCTCCAACCTCTGTAGACTTTCAAAAAACAAAATCAAGAATTGGAAGCGGAAAGGGAACATCTGGCAAATGATAAAATCAATTTGCAAAAACGTATTGTTACTTTAAAACGTGAACTTGGTCCAAAGTATGAACAAATATTCTCGGGTATATTTTCCGATATCGAAGTTGGTAGCATTCCAAGTGAGAGAGGTGAGTTACAAATTTAATATTTTATATAATTTTTAAATATATAAAAGTAAGGGATCCATTTTATTTTCTATAGGAAAAAAAGAGTCCTCAACCGGACCTGAGAGATTCTTTTCCATAGACAAAAAATCTTCTCAGGGAACCGAGAGATTCTCTTCTATAGAACACGTCTTCTTAGGGTCCCGAAAGAGTCTTTTCTAAAGAAAAAAAAGTATTATCAGGGGCCTGAAAGTTTATTTTCTATAAAAAAAAGTATTTCAGTGCCCGAGGGACTCCTTTCTATAGAAAAAAGTCTTCTCAGGGGCCTGAGAGAAAAGTCTTCTCAGGGGCCTGAGAGAAAAGTCTTCTCAGGGGGCTGAGAGATTCCATTCTACAGAAAATGTCTTCTCAGGAGCCTGAGAGATTCCTTCCAATAGAAAAAAGTCTTCTTAGGATATAACAGGTTAGATATTCTTTTCTACAGAAAAATGTCTTCTCAGGGGCCTGAGAGATTCTTTTCCACAGAAAACAGTATTTTCAGAGGCCTGAGAGACTATTTTCTACTGAAAAAAGGATTTATAGGGGGCTTGAAAATATCTTTTCTATAGAAAAAAGTTTTGTCAGGGGCCTAAAAGATTCTTTTTAAAAGAAAAAGTTTTCTCAGGGGCTTAAAAGGTTTTTTTCTATCGAAAAAAGTCTTCTCAGCGTCTGACAGATTCTTTCCTTAGAAAAAAGTCTTCTCAGGGGCCTGAGAGATTCTTTGATATAGAAAAAATTTGTCTCAGGGTCCTTCTTTTCCATAGAAAAATTCTTCTCAGGAACCCTTTTAGGGGCGTATAATATTCTTTCTTTCTTATTCTTCTCTATAGAAAAAGTTTTTTCCCAGGGACTGAGATATTCTTTTCTAAAGAAAAAAGTTTTCTCAAGGGCCTAGAAGATTATTTTCCATAGAAAAAAGTTTTCTCAAGGGCCTAAAAGATTATTTTCCATAGAAAAACGTCTTCTCAGGTACCTGAAAGATTCTTTTCTATAGGAAAAAAGTCTTCTCAGGTGCCTGAAAGATTCTATTCTATAGGAAAAAAGTGCTCTCAGGGGCCTGGGAGATTCTTTTCTATAGAAAAAAAGTCCTCTCAGGGGCCTGAGAGATTATTTTCTATAGAAAAAAAGTTTTCTCAAGGGCCTAGAAGATTATTTTCCATAGAAAAAAGTTTTCTCAAGGGCCTAAAAGATTATTTTCCATAGAAAAACGTCTTCTCAGGTACCTGAAAGATTCTTTTCTATAGGAAAAAAGTCTTCTCAGGTGCCTGAAAGATTCTATTCTATAGGAAAAAAGTGCTCTCAGGGGCCTGGGAGATTCTTTTCTATAGAAAAAAAGTCCTCTCAGGGGCCTGAGAGATTATTTTCTATAGAAAAAAAGTCCTCTCAGGGGCCTGAGAGATTATTTTCTATAAAAAAAAGTCCTCTCAGGGGCCTGAGAGATTATTTTCTATAGAAAAAAGTCCTCTCAGGGGCCTGAGAGATTATTTTCTATAGAAAAAAGTCCTCTCAGGGGCCTGAGAAATTATTTTCTATAGAAAAAAGTCCTCTCAGGGGCCTGAGAGATTATTTTCTATAGAAAAAAGTCCTCTCAGGGGCCTGAGAGATTATTTTCTATAGAAAAAAATCCTCTCAGGGGCCTGAGAGATTATTTTCTATAGAAAAAAATCCTCTCAGGGGCCTGAGAGATTATTTTCTATAGAAAAAAATCCTCTCAGGGCCTGAGAGATTATTTTCTATAGAAAAAAATCCTCTCAGGGGCCTGAGAGATTATTTTCTATAGAAAAAAATCCTCTCAGGGGCCTGAGAGATTATTTTCTATAGAAAAAAATCCTCTCAGGGGCCTGAGAGATTATTTTCTATAGAAAAAAATCCTCTCAGGGGCCTGAGAGATTATTTTCTATAGAAAAAAATCCTCTCAGGGGCCTGAGAGATTATTTTCTATAGAAAAAAATCCTCTCAGGGCCCTGAGAGATTATTTTCTATAGAAAAAAATCCTCTCAGGGGCCTGAGAGATTATTTTCTATAGAAAAAAATCCTCTCAGGGGCCTGAGAGATTATTTTCTATAGAAAAAAATCCTCTCAGGGGCCTGAGAGATTATTTTCTATAGAAAAAAGTCTTCTCAGGCGCCTGGGAAATTATTTTCTACAGAAAAAGTCTTATCAGGGCCCTGTGATATTCCTTTCTATAGATTAGATTATTTTCTATAGAAAAAGTTTTCTCAGAGGCCTGAAAGGTGCTTCTTCGTTCTTTAAGTTTTGGAGATTTTTGTGTATTAAAAACCCAAGGGACTAGAAAATGTATTTTTTATAAAAAAAACGCTAAAAGTTGAGAAGTAGTTCTTTTTTAAATGAATATTTTTGAGACCTCCATGGTAAGAACTCGTTTTTGGTCCACGCATAATTTCAGTTAAATATATGTCTTATAAAACCCATCATAGGTGGTTTGTCCTTTCGCCAGCAATAATAACAGCTAGCCATTCAGCCAGCCAAAGCCATTTTACAAAAGCTAGATTATAATTGTTAATTCCGAATTTTTACGCAAAGCCTTTTTTCGCTTTTGCGCACATGAAATATGTAAATGCGGCAGCAAATGCATTATTAAAATCCAAATAGCCAGTAACAATAACGCGCCCAGAGCATTTAGGACTGCTAGAAATAAAAATAATAATATTCAAAATTTGTTCGATTTTTTCTGACCTGACTTGGGAATTGAAAGCGAAAAAGTAGATCAAGTATTGAATCTGATTTAAGCGACATATTTTTGCATACTACTCAAGTTTGTTTCGTTTTAAAGTAAATTGGTTTTCTATTTTTGTTGTTAACTTTGTAGTTAGAGGGGTGGGAGAGGTATCCAGATCTCATGCAACTTGAGCAAGAAAAAACCCCAAAGACCCGCTTTATCTGCTACTGTGATATTGTGAAATCTCTAGCCCGACGGCCTCGTTTAGCTTAGCCATGCTTGTCTTGTTCTTGTTGTTCACTTTTTTTTTCTATGCATGGCATTTACATGCGAAAAGAGAGTAGCTGCTGCTGTGTACTGCAGCCAGTAGTGGCAACAAAAAGAAAGGACACACATCTCGCATTCATATGATTTATTTATAAATTCAATAATATTAGACAGAATAGAAATTTTAAACAGTTTTGTTGGTTTTTTATATTCAAGCATCCATCCATACTTGTTGCTCGCTTTGCTGCACATGTGTGTATGTACATCGCGATATGTGCAACAAGGGGTTTCCAATAACAACATTGCCTTGTCTTTATGCTAATTCGGAAATTCGAGTTATTTCTTTTCTTTCTTAGTCAAATGTAAGGTAAAGCAAAAAAAAAAAAAAAAAAAAAAAAAAAAAAAAAAAAAAAAAATTGCAAAATGTGCTGCTGCAACTTCGAGAGGAATCGACTCGAATATATAAATTCATTTTTCATGCGTCTATGGATTTTTGTGTGTGAAGGTTGAATTTCTAGTATATGTGGAAGGCTGAATTGTTTTTTTTTTTTAAATTATATATATTTATGAGTTGGATATTTTGAATATATCAAATTCATTAAAAATATCAATGAAAAAAAAATTGAACAAATCTAAACTTATTCTAAAATTTTTTGCTATTTCCCACATTTTTTGCTTTCATTCAATAAAATTTAAAAGAAAAATGTAAAACTTATGGCGTTTGATTTTGTTGCAGTTTTTTTATTCCTCCCTGGGGCTGAGTGGTTGGGCTTAAATCTCATCATTAATTTATTTATTTATTTTTTTTTTTTTAATTTGGAAGATTTTCGGAAATCTGTCCATATGTCCCACAGCAATTGAATTTAGAAGGATGGTGTCAGGGGAAGTTGGGTTCCATATCGACTTTTACACAAAGTCACCGAACAAAAGAAGTCTGTAAAAGGGCTTAATCTTTGTAAAAAAAATCATTTTTAAATTGCATACAATTTTTTTTCGTTTTTTTTTTTTTTTAATTTTTCTAAATCGTGTCCAACGGACCCCCGTACTTTACTTTAGAGGGAAAGTACCAAAGAAAAAAAGATTCTACTCAAAATTCCACTATAGGTCCTTAAACAAAAGAAATCAGTTGGATGACTATAAATATAAACTAAATCATTAAAACAATGAGATTTTAATTTTGGTTAATTTGGTATATTTCTCGAATTTGGTATTTTTTTGAAATCCGAATATTTTAGAAGAAATGTACCAAAAGAAAAAAAAAATCTACATCGAATTTCACAGCAAGTCACGGAACAAAAAAAAACTATAGAAGAGCTCGTAAAAAGATGGGCTTGGAATTGGATATAAAAATATGGAATTTTTTTATTTTTCCAAACCGTTCCCCAAATGTATTTAGAACTCGCGGTTGTAGAGGGAAATAATAGCCAATAAAAACAGATTCTACTCAAAATTCCAATATAGGTTCTAGAACAAAGGAAATTTGTTGCATTAGTATAAATGTATAGAATTTCGTTAAAAATATTGAGATTTAAAAAAAATTGTATCCATATGTCCTATTGAACTTCAATTTAGACGCAAGGTTTCAAGAAAAATTATATTCTACATCGAATTTCATCATAAGTCACTGACCAAAAGAATTTTGTAGATGGGTTCTAATTGGTAAAAAAAATCAATTTGAATTTTGGTAACAGGAATAATTATTTATGGCAATTTTTTTTAATTTTCCCAAATTGTCCCCAAATGTCTTGAAGTCGTGATTTAAGATCGATTGTAGCAATGAACGAAATATTCTCCATAAAATTTCAATATTAGCCCTAAAAGAAAGGAAATCTGTTTGGATTGGTATATATTTACAAAATATCTTTACAAAAGTTGATATATCAACAAGGATTTTTTGTTGGTTTAAATTTCCGAATTGTAGTCATATATCCCATTGTCCTTGAATTTAGAGGGCAGAGGGGGTTAAGAGGAGGCATATTCTTCATCGAATTTTGGAAGGTTTTATATCTATAAAAATAAGTTTTAAATGTTATATACAAATATTTTTTGGAATTTTTGTTTTTTAAATTATGCTCAAATGTCCTCTGAACATCATTTTCGAGAAAGTTAAAAATGCTCTTAATTCAAATCCTCTTTAAATCTTCAGATAAACAAAATCTGTAAAACAACAACAATGCCTAAAAATTATCAGTATCAAATAAAGGAATAAAGATTTTATAGGTGAAATTGACAATTTTCCGAATTTGGGGGTCTAAATGTTCTTTTTTTACTTTCCTAAAAAGGACGATGCTGCCAAAGCCTCAAACATTCCACTTCGCCCTTCTTTAAAAATTCTTCAACAAAATAATACCGGTTTGGCTCAGTAAAGACGTCTACGAAGACTTCTTTACCGGCCTGGCCCAGTAAAGAAGTCTATGAAGACTTCTTTACCGGCCTGGTCCAGTAAAGACGTCTATGAAGACTTCTTTACCGGCCCGGTCCAGTAAAGACGTCTATGAAGACTTCTTGACCGGCCCGGCCCAGGAAAGACGTCTATGAAGACTTCTTGACCGGTTCGGCCCAGGAAAGACGTCTATGAAGACTTATTGAGCGGCTCGTTCCAGTAAAGACGTCTTGAAGACTTCTTGACCGGCCAGGCATTAAAAGACGTCCCTGAAGTCTTAACTGTTCTAGATGTTTTATGACACAATTTTTTCAGGTTAACAACTAAGTTCGCATTCGAAATTTTGGAATTTTATTAATACTCAATTTATTTGGAAATCTAAAAAAAAATCCGTCTTAGATTTGCTACTTTTTTTGAAATAATTTATTTTTCTAATTTAAATGTTCTTTCTTCGTTTATTTCAGATACCATTAATGATACACATTCGCTCTCATCTAGCCGTGGCAGTACATTGTATAGCTCATCCAGTTCGCTGTCCAGTGGTGGCAGTAATGGTAGCAACAGTAACGGCAGCAGCAATGCAATGTCATCACCAGTTGGCGCTGGTGTAAGTAATAGAAAAAATCAATTGCATTCATCAATAATGATGATGAAAGAGATACAGTGTTAGTAGCATGTAGGATGGTGGACCCACACACTTACAGAGATACCCACCCTTCCCCCCACTCACCACTTTTTACAATTGGCAAAAAAGGCAAAAAAGAAACATTTGTTTTTAATTTCTGAAATCCCAACACAAATTTCAGTCAAAAAAAAAAAATAGTTTAATTTTTTTTATAGAAAATTAAAAATAATGTAGTTTTTTATTCAATTAATTAATTCATAATTTCAATTAATTATTTTCTTATTGTTTTTTCTTTTATTTTCTTTGTGAAATACATTTTTCCCCCTCAATACCACCATGTTTGCCTAATCGTTAAAACAAAAACAACACAAAAAATGCCAACGATCTCATTATAACTATATACCTATATATATACCCTTATGATAAATATAAAAAATATATATTAAAAAAAAAATAAAATTATGTTTAAAATATTACACCCAAACACACACACACACACGTTAACATATTTATTGATCAAATGCAAATTGTATTTGTTGTAATTGTTATAAAATATAGTTGCAAACTGCTATGCCAACCGCAATATCGCCTGTGATAACTAAAATCAACTCGAGCAACTCCACCAACAACAACAGCAACAACAATTCAACATCATCACCCATTACCATTAACAGCAACCATGTGGTGTTGCAGCAGCAGCAGCAGCAGCAGCGCAAGCATCCAATTACAACAACAATCCAAGCTGTGGCCATACCAACTCAGGTCCTTGCTGCTGGCAGTGGCAGTGGAGCAGCCAATACTACTGCTGCTTCTGGTAGCCCCCCAATTGGCAGTCCCAATGCCTTGCTAACCTTTGGCCTGGCCAATGGCGCCAGCAGCAGCAGTGTGCCCCTATCATTGACGGCCAAAAATATCTCGGCCACGGCCATAACACGTGGCTCGCCAACACCCTCAACTCCCTCACCGTCACCGTCCTCATCGAGTGGCGTCTCATCGTCGTCATCACTGATCTCGTCATCGCCCCCCATAAATGGGGTGATCAACAATAATGGTCGCAATGTGACCGTTAACATTCCTAATGGCTTGAAATTGCAAGCAGCAGCAGCCAATGGTGGTCTTGGTGGAGTTGGCACGGTGACTGCCCATGCCATAGCTGGAACAATTGGCAATGGCGCCGCTTCGGCTGCCGCCACAATTATCGCAACATCAGCACCCGCACAAGGAGTTACCAACACCAATAATGGTATGTATGAAACAATGGTTGGATTTTCGGTAAAGATTTCCACCAAAAGTAGCTAATAACTGGTTCGGAATGTTCGGAAAAATATAAGTTTAAATTCTGTTAATTATTTTAATTGTGTAATTGTTTGTTTTGTATATATGTATATATAAATATTCTATAATTTGTTTATAAGACCAAAGCCGACCGGACCGGGCCCAGTAAAGACGTCTATGAAGACTTTTTACACGCCTGACCTGTAAAGATGACGGATTTCTTTACCGGCCCGGCCCAGTATAGACGTCTATGAAGACTTTTTTACCGGCCCGGCCCAGTATAGACGTCTATGAAGACTTCCTTTCCGGCCCGGCCCAGTAAAGACGTCTATGAAGACTTTTTGTTGCCGGCCAGGCCCGTAAATAAGTCTATGAAGACTTTTTTACTGGCAAGGACCGTAAAGAACTCTATGAAGACTTTTTTACCGGCCACGACCGTAAAGAACTCTATGAAGACTTTTTTACCGGCCAGGCCCGTAAAGAACTCTATGAAGACTTTTTTACCGGCCAGGCCCGTAAAGAAGTCTATGAAGACTTTTTTACCGGCCAGGCCCGTAAAGACGTCTATGAAGACTTCTTTGCCGGACCGGGCCCAGTAAAGACGTCTATGAAAACTTCTTTACCGGCCCGGACCAGTAAAAACGTCTATGAAGACTTCTTTACCGGCCCGGACCAGTAAAGACGTCTATGAAGACTTCTTTACCGGCCCGGACCAGTAAAGACGTCTATGAAGACTTCTTTACCGGCCCGGACCAGTAAAGACGTCTATGAAGACATCTTTTCCGGCCCGGTCCAGTAAAGACGTCTATGAAGACTTTTTTTAACGGCCAGGCCCGTAAAGAAGTCTATGAAGACTTTTTTACCGACCAGGCCGTAAAGACTTCTATGAAGACTTCTTGACCTGCCAGGCCAGTAAAAACTTCTATGAAGACTTCTTTGCCGGCCCGGCCCAGCCCAGCCCATTAAGTAAGTCTCTGAAGACTTCTTTACCGGGCCGGGCCCAGTAAAGACGTCTATGAAGACTGCTTTACCGGCCCGGTTCAGTAAAGACGTCTATAAAGACTGCCTTACCGGCCAGGTCTGTAAAGTCTTCTTTATCGTCCATACCTGTAAAGACGTCTATGAAGACCTCGTTATCGGCCAGGCCTGTAAAGACCTCTTCAAAGACTTCCAGGTTAATCTAGAGCCAAAAGACATATTTTGGGCTTTAAATAAGCTTTTCTTGCTGTTCCGTAGTTCTCTTTAATTAAAAACCCACCACTCTCCCCTTCCCTCTTCCACATATTTTAGTTAATTTTTAAATATTCATTGGCATAACTCTACTCTATTTTAAATCTCTCTTTTTTTATTTAATCTCCCACCCATTCCCAATTATCATCGTCGTCGGACCTCAACAGCGATTATGTTGCAAGCGTTGCGTGGTTGCCATTTAGTGTAAACTAAGCCCTAGACAAACAAAAAAAAAAGAACAATTTGGCCAAAATCGAAAAAAAAAGAATCAAAAACTAAAAAAGAAAGAAAACAAAATCGGGAGGACTCAGCAAAAGGAATATTTTGGGGAAACTTCCATTTTCTCAAATTATGTGGGATGTGGACCTGAAACCAAAAAATTGGATTACATATTATTATCCTGGAAAATAATGCCAGCACACACAAGAACACAAAATTTGAAAACACCCAAGAAAAAAAAAAACAACCCAGAAGCCAACATATTTGCATCACAAAAACAACCAACCAACACCATCTCACTGCAAATCCTGTTTCAAAATCATGAAAAGTCTGGAAATAATATATGTCCTCCAAAAAAAAAAAGTACGAAAACCTGATTTGTTATCCCTCCACTATGAGCACCATTACTTTTTGGGGTCAAAAACCAATCACCACCTCCTCCCACAAACTGAAATCTCATGAATAGAACAAAACGAGAAAAAAAATTTTATAACCAGAGACTGACCTGCAAACGTTAAGAAGGCCACCACCACCACCACGACCACCAAATACTCTTTGTACAAAATCTTGTTCCTTCGTTCCAACCACTTCAAAATTTCTGTCACATTATCATCATTTCAATCTTATTTTTGTTGTGTAAAATGTGGCCTAGGATTGAATGTGAATGATCAATTTTGAATCCATTTTGTATATTCTGCAGCCGCGTCCTTTGCAGCAGTTCCATCGGCCAGCCAAATGACCCTCAACCATGGCCAACAAGCAGCGGCATTCTCGTCATCATCACAACCTCCTAAACTACAATATAATGGCTGTGGCGGTGGTGCTGGTGGTGGTAGTCGCAAGAAAAACAACAACAACAACAACAACAACAACTCCCACAATATTATGAGGGACAACAACAACATCGCAATGGCCAACAAACATCAACAGCAACAACAGCATTCATCGCCCGCAGAAGATGGTGAACAACCAGCGGCCAAATTTTTAAAAGTATTAAACACCACATCACTTTTGTCCTCCAGTGCTGGGAGTGGTGGTAGTAGTGGTGGTACAATGGGTCTTGGAGGTGGTATTGTTGGTGGTATTAGTAGTATTAACGCTCTGCATGAAAACCTTACAACCAATGTCCTTGTCAATGGCCAGAAAATGATACTGACCAATGGCGGCAGTAGTTTAATGGCAAACGGTGCGGCTCACAACAGTGCCAAATTGAACCTGACAAATGGCAAATTATTCAATAATGGCATTTCACTAAACTCCCCATGCGCCACTTCGTCCGCGGTGGCAGCCAATGAATTGTGTCGCCTGCCAGGTGGTGCCGAATTGAATATCTTGAACAACAACAACAACAACAGCAACACCTCCAACAACACAACATTGGCAACCGCATTTTATCATGCCAATGGGAAAATCACCGTCCTAAATGGTGGTGGTCTACCGGTATCATCATCGTCATCTTCATCACTAACATCCTCGCTTGTAGCGCCTCCAATCTCAACAACATTCAATGGCCAAACCACCGTCACCAATGGAATTTTACTTAAAGGTAGGTTTTTGCATCACCTTCTCAATTTTTTGTCTTATATTAATCTTCCTTTGTTTTTCTTTTTAGATGCCTCAAGTGTCACCCCATTACTCCTGACAGCTGGAGTTCCAACCAGTGCAACAACAACAACATCATCATCATCAAATGCTGCAAATGGTTTGCATTTTAATGGCAATTTTGCCCAACTACTGGCAGCAGCTGCCAATTCGAACAACAATAATCATCACCATCTCTCAGGAGCAGCAGGAGGAACAGCAGCAATAGCTGGAGCAACAAGTAATGGTGTCAATTTATCCTCATCGGAGAAATCCAATACAAAAAATAATTCTAAGGTAAGTTAGTTTGAAGGGTATATAGGTTTTATTTAAGACTGAAGGACCCAGAAGAGATCCAAGAAATATTGGAAGACAAACCTGGTTGGGTAAGATTTAAAGATAAACAACCTTAGCTTCGATTCTATTTCATTTGAAAATCATTGGTACATTGTCTTTATCCGGAAACGTTAATTTCAGGTAGTCTCCGTAAAACACTAATTACCATTGAAGAGCAATAAATAGATTAAATGAGTTCAGTAGGAAGTTTTCATTGAGGAAGTTGCGAAAGGTAAAGAGTGCCTGGTTTCTATGCTGTAAAGGAATGTGAGATATTCTTCCTTATATCTAGCAAGCTTGCGAAGCTTTCTAGTAAAAAACATAAGGCCAAAAAATTAAAGATCTACAGCGTACCATGTATATCTTTGCCATATGCAGGCATTCTGCCCATTGCAATTTCAATTTATTCCTATTCCAAATCTCAATTGATCCAAAACTCTTCTGCTCTGCTTGTGGCAGCTCTCGTTCCCCAGCTGAGTTGGGTGGGACATAATGTCCGAGGACAGCATTCACTCTATATTCTTTTATAACTTTTGTCACCGCTTCAGAGAGAATTCTATTCAGGCTTGCTTGATTGCCATGTTGATCTAGAGGCTCTCTTTTATACCTCTGTACCACTCTCTCTAGAACATGAAAGTCATTCCTGAGCGGAGGATGCCCCATTTTTTGTACCAATGATTCTGGATGTAATCCAATGATCTCTATCAAATTTAAGAGCTCTATACTAAATATTACGAAATATATCTCAAACTATAGGGGCCCCTTTGTATATGGTCAAAAATATATGAGGGCTTTAACAACATTTGACCTAAGAACTCCTCCTGAACTCCTTTGGGCTTTAGTCTAAAAACGAATACTCGCAAGTCCACTTGGCATTTCTCACAACCCAGCGAATTGGAAAAAGTGAAATAAACAAATTTTTTATACCCTCAGCCATGTGGCTAGAGAGGGTATATATCATTTTATACGATCAAAACGTGCCTCATCGAAATTACGGTTTTAGACTTTAGGTCTCTTTGGACCAAATTCGTTTCAGGACATTTGGAGTCGATCTAGCAATGTCCGTCCGTCCGTCTGTCTGTCTAGCTGGCTGTTGCGCACGATTACTCTCGAAGAGAGTATTCGATTTGGTTCAAACTTGGTAAATCGTAATATTGTTGTCAATTTTAGATCAAGTTCGGAGATAGACAATATCGGTCCACTCCTTCTGGTACCTCCCCCACAAAAGGTCGAAATTTTCAAAGAAAATATTTTGCTGCACAGAGAAAAAAATGACAATCCGATTTTGCTCCAACTTTGCAAATCCTAATATTTGCAGCAGTTCTAGGTTATGTGCGGAAATTGACAACATCGGTCCACTCCATCCAGTACCTTCCCCACAAAGGGTCAAAATTTTGAATAATTAAAACTATTATAAATGTGAAGTAAGAGTCCGATTACCTTCACACATCGGAATATTTTTATTAATCCAAGGTCTGGTGTGAAGATGGAGTACATCGGTCCACTTCTTTTGTTAGCTCCCCCACAAAGGTCCAAAATTTTGAATATTCATGAAGCTTATAAAACGCGAAATTAACATTCGATTCCATTCAGACTTGACAAATCTCAATATTTCCATCAGCCTAAGATCTGTTATAAAGATGGTAGAGACCGGACCATTCTTTCTGGTACCTACCCCACAAAGCGTCAAAGTTTTGAATAACTAAAACGACTATAAAATCCGAAATAAGCATCCGGTTTTCTTCATATTTCACACATCACAATATTTTTATTAACCCAAGGTCTGGGGTGAAATTGGGATATATCGCTCCACTCCTTTTGGTACCTCCCCCACAAAGGGTCAACATTTTGAATATTCATGAAGCTCATAAAACGCGAAATTAACATCCGATTCAATACAGACTTGGTACATCTCAATATTTCCATTAACACAAGATCGGTTATAAAGATGGTACAGATCGGACCATTTCTTCTGGTACCTACCCCACATAGGGTTCAAGGTTTTTGAAAAACAAAACGCTCAAAGAATGCGAAATAAGCATCCGACTCTCTTCAAATTTCACACATCCAAATATTTTTGCTAACATAGGATCTGTTGTGAAGTTGATATATGTATCTGCCAAACCCTTCTGGTACCTCACCCACAAAGGGTCACAATTTCCAATGGTTATATCTGTCATAACTTGCCGAACAAGTCGGCGATTCTTTGCTAGTTGCTATATCTAAATATTTCTCTTAACTAGAAATCTGATATGAATATGTAATTTATCGAAATTTTTGAATTCGTATAAAATTGGACATACATTTTCGATTTCCTTCAAATTTTGCACGTACCAATATTTTTATCTGAATTAGATGAATACTTCGGTCCGCTATATTTGCTACCTCACGCACAATTCCACATTTTCCAAATCTGACACATTGTAATATTTACATCGGTCTTAGGTCAGATACGAATTGGACAACATTGGCCAACTGCTTCGGAACCTCCCCCATAAAGGGTCAACAGTTTGAATAATCATAACTGAAGGCTGGGGGAATACATCTGTCGGCAAAACCGATTGATACTATTTTACTTGTTTTTATAAAAATATGAATTTCTGCAAATAAAAATTTTCAATGTCTCTTCAAAAAATATTCTTTGAAAACCCACAATTCGCACATATGCGCTTTTCAATAATATTCTTTAATTAAATATTCTCATCAGAAAATATTCTTTAAGAATCCACGTATTGAAGGCTCTTAAAAACTATTCCTTAAAAAATCCATATCTGGAACACTATTTAAAAATATTCTTTAAAAATTCACGTCAGAAACAAACTTCAAAACATATTCTTTAAACAATTCACGTCCCGAAGGCTCTTCAAAAAATATTCTTTAAAAAATCCAGGTCTCGAAGGCTCTTTAACAAATCCTTGTGTAGGCTCCTCTTGTAGGATCTTTCAAGAATGCAAGTCTCGAAAACTCTTCAAAAAATATAAAAACAGTTATAAAAAGAAAAAAATGGAGAGGAAAAAATCTCGAGACACTTTCAATATTTATACCCTACACCACAAGGTGGTCAGGGTATTATGTCTTTGTGCATTTGTTTGTAACAGGCAAAAGGAAACGGATAGACCCACAGTTCCTTTTGATGATCTGCATAGAATCACATTCTGAGTCGATTTATGCATGTCCGTCCGTCCGTCTGTCCATGTATTTTTGGAAACAAAGTACAGTTCGCATTTATTACCCTATCCAGATGAAATTTTGCACAAATCATTTGTTTGGCCCAAGGAATTTTGCACGTACGATCAGATTGGACCTGAAAATAAGTATGCCAAATTTGATCGAAATCGGTTCAGATATAGCTATAGCTCCCATATATATCGTTCCGATTTGTTATTTTTGTCCTCCGCAGCCGTAATATGCACTCTGTAACAACAATATTTGAGGAAATATATCAAATACTGCTCAGAAATACATTTGCTAAATTTTATCGAGATCGGTTCAGATTTGGATATAGCTCCCATATATAACTTCGTCCGATTTACCTTTGATTTTGCACCAAACGTCTAATATTTGCCCACATTGGATGAAATTTGGCACTTACGAACGAATTGAGTCTAGAAGCTAGTATGTTAAATTTGGTGAAAATCGGTTCAGATATAGCTATAGCTCCCATATATACTATTCATTCGATTTGCCATATTTGTTACCCATAGCCGTAATATGCACTCCGTAACAACGATATTCAGGGAAAAATATATCAAATACAGCTCAGAAATATCTTTGCCAAATTTAATCGAGATCGGTTCCGATTTAGATATTGCTCCCATATATATTTTTGTCCGATTTCAAATTAATTGTGCGTCAAGTGGGCAATACAAGTCCGAATTTAAAAGATACAAATGCTTCGGCATATTTAATCCTTTGAAATTTAAATTATAATTATAATCATATCGTGTATGATTGCAAAGTGGTGTAGGATATCATAAAGTCGGCCCCGCCCGGCTTTAAGACTTTCATTACTGGTTTTTATGTGAAAACACATACTATCACAAAATGATTTTGAATTTCTCTGCCTAGCTCTGCACTGGAATAATGTTTTATTACTTGTTTATATTACATTAAAGTTGAAAATACGTTATTCACTTCCACGTAGCCTTGGAGAAACTTGGTAAAATCATGACTTCTTTCACACCCATAACGATTTAGTCCGGGATCATTTGATTCGAACTCATGATTGAAGTACTTTCTTTGGCATTAAACTTTTGGCTGGTAAATTAGTAATTCCAACAGCATCTTAGTGTTATCTGGGTTTAAATGATGTGAACCACAATTTAATAGTTTACAAATCTCCTTGGCAATCCACATTAATTATTGACATTTTTCTTTCTCTTGTAGCCTTCACATGTTGCTGCTTGGCGCACAGAGGCTGCAGCTACCACAAACTGAATTCCACACCATTTAAACTACATGTACTACATCTAAAATGAAAATGGACTACTGGCAAATGGTTGTAATAATGGAAACCTATTCTACACACCTCACTCTCTCTTTTTTAACCTAAGAAACAAAACTACAAGAACTTTATCCAGGGTGAAAATGAAGAGTTTTGAGTCATCATCATCATCAGCGTCGTCGAATAGCTGCTAATATCTTCTACTATTAGGTACTACTATAAAGAAAGAAAGAATGAAGAATATTAACAAGAACAACAACAAATGAAAATGCTCCCACCTTTTGTCAAACATGACATGTGACAACAAAGAAACAAACAAAAACACACCATACATAACAAAAACACAACCTCAAAAGAACAACCTAATCTAATAATAAAACAAATAGTAATGCTACAACAAAAAGAGGTAGAAAATAACAAATAAAACAACATCAATCAAGTTCTAATAACAGCAATTTAGGGATCCTGATTCTTAAAGGATTTTAAACAGCAGGTTTTCATGCATTCATTCATTCAGTCATCTACTACTACTTATCACACAACATTAACATAATATCTACAAAAATCCATACCAGAGAGAAAACAAATCAAAATGAAACAAAAGAGAAATATCCTTTTTTTAATATTCATCCATCAATCACACTTATATAAAACAGCATGTTTTTTTTTTAATTCGCAACGAGTAACCATTTTTTTTTTTGTTTTCTGTAAAGATATGAAAGTAACAAAATTAAAAGCGCTACAATTTCAAATTATGTAGAGAAAGAGAGAAAATATATTTACCACATATTTATAATAATAGAGAAAACAACAACAACAACAACAACAAAAAGGAAAGAAACGCAAAAAAAAAAAACAAACAGATCCGCCCATCATCATATTATTATTATAGAAGAGATATAGAGAAAACATCGATTTCCGTTTTTAAACAAACTAAACAGAAACTAATCACTAGAATAAAACACAACAATGTTAGAGAAAGTATTGTATTGTTTTTGTAATCCGGAATTGTCCATACCAAGGTCTATTTTATAAGGCCACACAGATGGCGGAATTCAGACTCGAATTTTGTTCTTGCTGTCAGAAGTATTTTGGCGAGGAAACGATCCAAAAGAAAAACAGTTACACAGTAAGACCACCATCTGACTAGCAATTTTGCTGTCCAAATATGTTTTTGTGATGAGATTTCAAAATGAACCTCAAAAAATGTTGGACCCTAAAAAAATATTCTTTGTGAAAAAGAATTGAAAACAATTATAATTTTTGTTGATTTCGAGGCCGCAAAAAAAAGTTGTTATTCTTTTTATTAATTTTCCTGGGTGAAAATGTATCAGAAAATAAATTATTTTGAAGTGTTAATAATTCACCACCTGTGTAACCTGTTCATAGACCTTGGTCCATATACCGTATAAATATCATTTTCAAATGTAATGCTTAAAATATTGTTTTTACAACCTACACCACATAATGGTAAGGGTATTATTTATTCTTGTGAACAAAACGAAGGTCGCATTTATTATCCGATTGAGATGAAATTTTCCAAACAACGTTTGTTTGTCCCAAAGACGAACCCTATTGGAGTTGTTGATAATCGGATAATATTTAGATATAGCTCCCATATATATCTTCAACCGATTTTGGGTTAATTGTGCATCAAATGGCCAATATCTGTCCGAAAGTCCTGAATGTTGGCTCACCACATAGTGGTAAGGGTATTATATCTTTGTGCAATTGTTTATAACATAGAGAAGGAAGCGAGATAGACCCTTAGTTACTTTTGTGGATCTTCATAAAATCACTCTCTGAGTCGATTTATGTATGTCAGTCCGCCTGTCCATCCATGTGTTCTTGTGAACAAAATGTAGGTCGCATTTGTTTGGCCCAAAGACGATCCCTATTGAAATTGGTGATAATCGGATAATATTTAGATATAGCTCCCATATATATCTTCAATCGATTTTGGGTTAATTGTGCAACAAATGGCAAATATCTTTCCGAAAGTCCCGAATTTTGGCACATCGCAACGAATTCTGTCTAGAAGAAAGTACATCAAATTTGGTGAAAATAGGTACAGATATAACTATGCCCCCCATATATATATTTCATCCGATTTGGTGTTTAAATCCCTCACATTCGTAGTATGCATTCGACAACAATGATATTCGGTACCAGATATCTTATAGAGCTCGGAAATACCTTTGGCAAATTTTATCTGTTCAGATTTGGATATAGCTCCCATATATATCTTCAACCGATTTCGGGTTAATTCAGTCCAAATGATCGGAATTTTGGCACATCGCACCGAATTCTGTCTAGAAGAAAGTACATAAAATTTGGTGAAAATAGGTTCAAATATAGCTATAGCTCCCATATATCGGTTTCATCCAATTTGGGGTTTTAAGTTCCTCACATGCGTAATATGCATTCGACAACAATGATTTTTGGTACCAGATATCTTATGGAGCTTGGAAATACCTTTGCCAAATTTTATCAAGATCGCTTCAGATTTGGATATAGCTCCCATATATATCTTCAACCGATTTTTTGGTTAATTGTGCACCAAATGGCCAATATCAGTCCAAATGATCTGAATTTTGGCACATCGCACTAATTCTGTCTAAATTTGGTGAAATTCGGTTCAGATATAGCTATAGCTCCCATGTATCGGTTTCATCCAATTTGGGGTTTTAAGTTCCTCACATGCGTAATATGCATTTGACAACAATGTATTTGGTACCAGATATCTTATAGAGCTCGGAAATACCTTTGGCAATTTTTATCTGTTCAGATTTGGATATAGCGCCCTTTTATATATCCTTAATACGATTTCAGGTCTATTGTGTAAATAACAGCTAATATAACCTAAATGGATCTAATTTTCACTTTTCCGACGTATTTCGGCCATAAGCAAAGAGGTGTTGGGTATCATATAGTCGGCCCCGCCCGCCTTTGGACCTTTCCTTACTGGTTTTAATTTGTTCAAATATAGAGAACAAATTATTTGTAATCGCCTTTAACCACTTTAGTCTGGGGGATAACTGAAAAATGCCTGTTTCGGAAGATGGAAAACAAATTATACAGAATTTGCTTCCCCATAAGCCTATATCTAACACCGAAAAGAGTGGGGCTGAGTAATTGATATCGTCATCACCTCAATTCGAACTCATGACCCTTATGTTACAATGACCTGTGATTAAACCCACCCCAAGTTTTAGGTCTGATTTTGCAATGAATATGAACGACTTGGATCTTTTCTCAGAGAGCACCTGACAAATTTTCTTAGAATAATGTTTATGTGTCGCTCGAAAGAAGTGGCACAAGGGTGCTTTCACTGAGTTCTCGATCTCCTAATCGATTGACTCGGATCCACGTCCTGCCAATTCAGTTGATTTCCTCACGCCATTAAAATTTTAATAAATTTGGTCCTTTTCATTTTATTTTCTATCCTCATCAAAGTGATCCCAGAAAGTCCTATTCCCAGAAGTGGGGTTATGGCAAGGGATTATTTTAAGAAAGGTTTTGACCCTAAAGCAGTTGAAAATCTGGGCCTTTTATGAAAATTAGAATAGCAGCGCTGTAAAGAGTTTAATCACAATTCCAATTTTGAACTAGTAGGACTTACCATGGTATAAATTTTGGGCATTTTGGGTTTTCGAGAAGGTTTTTTTTTAATCTTCTATTTGTCTTGCAAAGCGAAGGTAGTCTTCTTGGCCGACCATATGTTGGTCTTGTATAAATCCATTGTACATGCACAAATCAAAGAAGGGGATCCCTTTTCTAGACATTGAAACTTGAAATATTTCGAATATTTGAAAAGCATTAAAAAAATGCAATTACATTTGAAAATGATATAATTTCCGAAATTTGAAAAAGTTTTAAATACCACCCATCAAACACACAAACATTTATTACCATTTCTCCATTCATCCATCACACATGCCATGAAGTTTTCCCCAAAAATATCACCTCAACCTTCAAGAGTTTCCGTTTTTGGCATATCCCTATTCTTTTTTTTTATAAACAAACAATATCATATGGAAATATAAAAATAAGAATTGTTATGTTTTCATTTTCAAATAAAATTTGGTTTCAATTAAAGAAAAAAAAAAAAACAAAACGAATGGAAAATAATTCGGATACTATAACAAAAACACAAAAAAAAAAAATAAAAACAAAATGAAAACATGTTGTTTTTCAACGCTGTTTTGTAACAGAAACCACCAAAAAAAGGCAACGCTTTATAAGAAAAAAATAATACTAAACAAAAAAAAATAAATTAAAAACAATACAACCACAACAATATTAAATGTTTAAAGAATTATAGAAATAATAAAGAAAATATAGTTTTTATTACAACAAATAAACAAAAACCCTACAAATTAAGAAATAATTAAAACAAAACTACAAAAAAAAAAAAATAGTCACCTCCCCCCGTAATGATCCTCCCCTACTCCTCTCTTTCTCACATGAACAAGAAGCAAAACGAATAACATCACCATCATCACCACAATGACTACATGCAAAGAAAGAAGAAGCCAACCTAACTCCCTCCCGTTTTTAAATTTTAATTTTGATTTTTAAATTTTAATTATTATTTGTTTTAGTAAAACCAAAAACACACACACTACCACAATATACTAATTGTTAATCTACCATATCTAAATCTATATTCATACTGTAATGATTTGAAAAATGTAGCTTTAGAAAATGACGAAGAAGATATTTATATTGAGAAAATATGGTTGAGTATCCAGTCTCTTGAAAAGTGTAAACAAATATTTCTATACTAAAACTTGGCTGGTTCCTTTATTTTTTAAGAAAATGTTTGAAATCGTCATTTTTTAGATTAGAAAAAAAAAGAAAATTAGAAAAATTTTCCCTTTTATGGAAATTGAAATAGAATTTTTAGTACTTTGGAAGGTTTTAAGAGATTAATTCCAATTATAAATTTTTACAATATCGAACAACCTTAAGAAGTTGTAGTAAATTAAGAGGATTAAATAATTTCTTAGGCCATTAAAATGGTGTTAAATGTGACCATAACCCCATTTCAGGAATTGAGACTTTCTTTTGATGACAAATTGAAATCAAATAAAAAGACTTTAATTTCTCAACAAAAGGAGGTCTTACTTCCAGAAGTGAGTTATTTTTTAAAAGAAAACAATTACAAATACCTCAAAACATAAATTGCAACTTTGACAAAATATTACCTCAGGCTATTAAAATGTCATTAAATGCGGTCCTTTTCATTAGATTTTCAAATCTCATCAAAGTGATTTCAGAAAGTTTCATTTCCAGAAGTGGGGTTATGTTAAGGGATTATTTTTTTAATAAAAGGAAGATTATCTCCGTTTAGCAGTTGAAAATTTATGCCTCTTATGAATATTTAAGAATAATACCACAAAATGTGATTTAAGAGATTAACCCCAATTCCAATTTTGACTAAATTTAACAAAATATGTTGCAATGAAGTAGAATGATTTTAAATTTTAAAATAGTTCCTTGGGCCATTCTAATGGTATTAATTTTTCGCAATTTTCATTCGACTTTAAATCGGGAATGATTTGGCAGAATAACACAATCCTCTATTTATACTCTACACCACATTGTGGCACAGGGCATGATGTAATGCAGGAGGAAACGTAATAGATCCATGAATCTTTTCAAAATCTCCATAGAATCACATTCTGAGTCGATTTATGAAATGAAATTTTTCACAATTTTTTGTTTGGTCCTAGGACTAATCCCCTTTGAAATTGGTAATAATCGGTCCAAATCTACATAAAACCCTCATATATAACTTGGTCCTTATTGTGCGCCATATGTGTGTGCCATATACATTCAAATAGGATGTATTCCGGCACATCCGACCGAGTTCAGTCTAGAAACAAGTACTTCAAATTTGAGAAAAATTGGATCAGATATAGGTTTGGATATAGCATCCATATATATCTTCATCCGATTTCACGGTTATTGTGTATCAGATATGTAATATCAGCCCAAATTGAATGGAATTTTCCACATTCAACCGAATTTTTCAATTTGCTGAAGCCCGGTTTCCATATGTTTTTATACCCTCAGCCATATAGACCCTAGGTCTCTTTGGACCAAATCTATTTCAGGACATTTGGAGTCGATCTAGCGATGTCCGTCTGTCTGTCTGGCTGATGCGCACGATAAATCTCGAAGGTAGTATCCGATTTGGTTTAAACTTGGTACATCGTAATATTATTATCAAACTTAAATCGAGTTTAGAAATGGACAATATTGATCCACTAATTCTGGTACTTCCCCTACAAAACGTCGAAATTTTCAAAAAACAAAAAAAAAATGTTTTACTGCACAGAACGGGAAACGATAATCCGATTCTGCTGCAACTTTGCAAATCTTAATATTTGCTTCAGTGCTAAGTCAGGTGCGAAAATGGACAATGTCGGTCAACTCCATCAAGTACCTCCCCCACAAGGGGTCAACATTTTCAATAATTATGACTCCTATAGATTGTGATGTAAGTGTTTGATTGCCTTCAAATTACACATGTCGCGATATTTTTAAGCTAAGCTCTGGTGTGAAGATGGAATATATCGGTCCACTCCTACTGGTACCTCCCCCACAAAGGGTCAAAATTTTGAATATCGTAGAAGCTCATAAATCGCGAAATTATCATCCAATTTCATTAAGACTTGGTACATCTCAATATTTCCATCAACACAAGATCTGTTATAAAATGATACAGATCGGACCATTTCTTCTGATACCTTCCCTACACAGGGTTTAAGATTTTTGAAAAGCAATACGCTCAAAGAAAGCAAAATAAGCATCCAACTCACTTCAAATTTCACACATCCAAATATTTTTGATTACACAAGATCTGTTGTGAAGATGATATATATCTGCCAACCCCTTCTGGTACCTCACCCACAAAGGGTCACAATTTCCAATGCTTATATCTGCTGTCATAACTTGCCAAACAAGTCGGCGATTCTTTACAACATTCTATATCTAAATATTTCTTTTAACCCAAAATCTGATACATAAATTTTGAACATAACAATTAAATGTAATATGAAAATGAAATAATTCGGTCCGCCATATCTGTTACCTTCTGCATATTTCCACATTTTCCAAAAATTCGCACATATCTCACATAAAGTATAAGAAATAGTCGATATAGTCCAAATCTGGCACATTGTAATATTTATATCAGTGTTAGGTCAGATACGAGTTGGCCAACTGCTTCGAAACCTCCCCCATAAAGGGTCAACAGTTTGAATAATCATAACTCAAGGCTCGTGGGGTATACATCTGTCGTCAAAACCGACTGATACTATTTTACTAGTTTTGCATAAAATCTTGTAAATAATGATAACCCATAACCTCACTTTTCTGCAGGATCCATGTAAAGAATCTAAATTAGAAAACATTGGCAGACCAAGAAAGGACAGCGTTATTAGATTTCCTCTTCTCCTAAGTAAGATAGCTTTGGTAGGCAAAGTATTTGTATGTTGTTTTTTTTATATCTTGAGACTGGACAATATATCCGCCATGAATGAATTAAGGTTTTCGTTGAATAAATCACTTTTTTCAAATCATTACAGTATTTTTTATATGTGTTGAGTTGGTAGATCATCTAACAATTATAGCCTTTTATTTCACTTGTTTTTAGGTTATGTTATGGAAAGCAACCACAAAAAAAAAACTACAAAAAAATAATCAAAACAGAAAAATAAATTGAAAAAAAAATCAACAAAAATTACAAAAGCCAATAAAAATAAATAAAGAAATAACACTAACTATTATTACAGTGAAACAAAAAAAAATATCCACAATGTTAAGTTCTATATATGTAACAAAAAGTTTATAAAGAAAAACTACTCAAATAATTTCTTTTAAACTATTTTACCCCTCTTTTAAGAAACCTCAATTCTATTGCTCATTACAAAAAAAAAAATCTAAAAATTAATTTCTTTTCTGGCGAAAGAATGATTTTCCCCAAAGTCTGACACCGATAAATATCTGACCATAAATTAAATTTTGTTCTAGACAACTTTTCCGTTAAATGATGGCTTTGGCGTAATCAGTCCATGGACTTTCATATCCTCCCCTCCAACACTTTTCTACTCCTCGATTTTTTTCTCTCTCTCTCTTTTAAATGTTTATCATTACATGGAAAGAAAAACTCCCCCCACCACCACCACTACCACCAATCAAAAGAAAAAAAAAATACCCCCCCAAATAAATTTATCTGTGTGTAATAATTTAAGCAGAATTACAAAAAATTAGTAACTAAAATCGAAAGAAAGAAAAATCATAAAAACAAAACACTATATACATATTGAAAAAAAAAAAATAATAAAAGGAAATAAATTTCTAAAAAAACAAGAAAATCAAGTGGAAATATAGTCAAGTTATATATACATTAATAAAAAACAAACAAAATTTAAAAAATATATATAAAGCACATAAAACTAAATGCAATTTGTAAAAAGATAAATGCCCCCTCCCCCCTCGTAATTAATCTATAGTTATAAATATAATTACAAAACAAAAACAACAAATATATACATACATATAGAAATATATAAATATATTTAATATACATATAATGTAATTGAATATAAATAACTAAATTATAATTATTATAAATAATAATTAATAATTTTTAATAAGTTATAAGAAGAATTATATAAAAAATAATAACGTATTAATGTATGTTTAAATGTGTAAATTTAAAATTAATAAATTAATCTATATATTAAAAAAACAAAAACAAAATAAAAACAAACAAAAAACAAATTAAATAAAAAAAAATTCAAATAAATATTTGTAAAAAAAAAAAACACATGACAAAACTTTATTCAAACAGACAACAATTGCCTACCTAGAAAAACCAAAACGAATACAAAAACAAACAGATTCTATTTTCTATATGGACTAATGATGATATTTATACTCCCATCACACCTCCACCACAACTGAGACCACTTTTTTACATTGAGCGACCAATATGCAGCAGCAGTTTTAGTTTTCTTCTTTTGTTTTTTTTTTTTACAAAAATATGTTGACAAATTCAGATTCTCTTTATTTATCTAAGAGAAGGGGGAGCAGAAGGTATGATCAAAAATACAATTTAGTTCTGTTTTTTGGGAAGTTATTGGGGGAACAGCATTTTATTATTTCACTCTTGCGTATGTCAGCCCAGTAAAAAAATTGAGCAATAGGTACTGTCCTATTTAAGATTTTTTAAGGTTTTGGAAATATATTTCACATGAAATGCATAACAATGGGGTATTTGATAATTCGATATATCAATATTGGTTTATACAGGGTGAGATAAAAAAACTGCAAAAAAGCCAAAAGCCATAATTCTGACATTTTTCTTTAACTTAATGTTTTTTTTTTTTTGAATGAAAGCTGAAATTGTCGGGAATAGGATCAAATTTTAGAATAAGTTTAGATTTGTTCGAAATGGCCAATGAAACCGTCACACGCTGCCCGAATGTTGCTCTGCGTTATTTTGGCCCATTCGCGCCGAAGCGCTTGCCTGAGGTTATCAACACTTTGGTATTTTTTAGTGCAAACCTTGTTTTCCAAAATACTCCAGACACAATAGTCCAACGGATTGGTAGCCGGAGATTTTGGTGGTCAGAAATGAAGCGAGGAACCTCATTTTGTAACAATTCTTGGGTGGCGCGTGCTGAGTGCGATGGTGCTGAGTCCTATTGGAATGTCCAAGGTCTAAGGCCAAAATGTTTGCGTGCCCATGGCTTTAATACACCCTCCAGAATATTTTCCCGATAATATTCGGTATTTCTTCTGATGCTACGGTCGATTACTACGAGCGGAGAGCGGCCATCGGCTGTTATGGCGGGCCACACCATCACCATGGCCGGTGTAGTGGACAACCAAAGGTGCACATTTTCAGCTGACTTCTTTGGCAAGTAAACACGATCATTTTGTTTGTTTACAAGCTGCTGGACAACGAATGTTTTCTCATCGGAGGAAACCAAATTCACCACTTTCGGCCAAGCGAAGCTACTCTTTAGCTCTTTTGAGTCTATTTTCTTTCTCTTGCGGTGTAAGTTCTTGCACTTTTTGGAATTACAATGGCTTTGTCCCGAGCTCATTTTTCAATATTTGCCGAATGAAATATTGCGATATGCTCAGCTCACGATTTTTCGACCACTGCTACGCGGGTTTCGATCAAGTCACTTCTTTACTTTTCGAACAATTTCTGCTGATGTTGCTGTTTTCTTCCGTCGACTTCCTTGACGTCGCGCTATGCTACCAGTATCACGGTAACGAGCGATGGATGGTACGAGACACAAAAAGATTTATTCACATTTAAATGCTGGGGTGCTCTAACGATAGCCACTTGTGATTTTCCAGCCAAATATAAAACAGTCAAGTATTCAGAGGATTTACTCTATCACCCCGATTCTTAATGACAATTCCCTGGGAATTTTTTCCCTATTCCCTGTTCCCCTATTCTAAATAAAATCTCCCGGGGAATTTTTTCCCTTTTCCCTTCTCCCTTATTCTAAATGAACTTCGAAAATGGGAAACTCTTCCCCGGGAAAAAAGTAGGTATTATGAATGTCAATAAAAGGGCGAATGTGATAACGAATTTTGGGAATAATTCCGCCAAAAAATTGCAAGCGAGTTGTGCCAAAAAATGTAAGTATTTAAAATTTTTCATGAAAAATGAAAAAAAAAAACATTTATTTTTACTTTCAGGTCAAAAACAACAAACAAAAAGCAGTTAGACATTCTGCTTACCTCTATGCAATTACATAGCGATATTGCGCGAGGTTGGTTTAAGGGAGGAAAAGAGGAGCTAAACCGGGTATGGCGCAATTTGGAGGCGGAATTAAATGCTGCCGGGCCACCATCAAAAAGTGTTGCCGAGTGGAAGAAGGTATGTACCACAAAATTTGATTTGTACAATGCACAAATGACAAAAATGCAAAACCTTTTTCAGGTATGGGCCGATCAAAAAAAGTATGTACGGCAGAAGGCGGCACAAAACCTCAAATACTCCAGAGGAACTGGTGGAGGCCCCAACATGGAGCAGAAGTTTTCTGCAAACGAAGAGGCCATATACGATTTGGTTGGCATGAAGGAGTCAGTGGAAGGTGTGGCCATCAAGTATGGGTTAGGATCTTCCACTTCTACAATACAGAACCCAGAACGCCTTCCAAATGAAATTCTGGAGTTGCTAGAGCCAGACGGAGAGGAGGCTGAATGTCCTGCGGTGCACAGCAATGAAGACACTCCGCAAAAGCCGCCGGCGAAAAAAATTAAAATAAGTGGCCAGCATTTCAATACACAGGCATCCGCTCGCGACGTTCTATCAGAAGAGATAGACATTCAGAAACGTATGTTGGATGCAATGATTGAGCAGCAACAAATTTCAAAAAAGGTGTATCGTTCTATTGACCGCCTTTATGAAGTCAAAAAGGAAGAACTAAAAGAGCAGAAAAGGCACAATTTAATTATGGAAAAATTGCGGCTAAGAGAAGTGGAGGATAAAATTGAAAAGAACCGCCGACTCTTAGAACTGGAAGAACTGAAAAATAATCTAGAAAGTACCTGAATATATATATACACATACACACAGACTGAAAACGTGCATATGAACGTACCTGTAAATAGTATTAGTTTTGTTTTTAGTTTTAGAATATGAATTTATGTGTTTTCTTTTTGTTTGTTTTTGAACATGAATTTTATTGAGTTTTTTTTTGGTTGTTTTTGAATTGTTTTTTAGTTTGTTTAAAATAAAATGTGATGCTATTCCTATGTGATAACTAATCCTATGTTTTATTATTTTAATTTACAAATATACATTAGGCTGTCGCAATATATATAAGTGATTGATTGCCGTTTATTAGTGTCTGAGTCTAAATTTAGGGGAATATCTACTACAGATTATGTCCAATATTATTTCTAATATTTTGGGCAACCGACAAATACTGCTGCGTGGCCAAGGATACTACATCACTATCACTATATTGTATGCTAATACTATCAACATGTTCAACATCGTTGACGTCAGTATTGCATTTGAAATGAATGCATATATTATGCAAGGCACAGCAAACATTTGTGATTTTTGCGGCTTTTTCAGGAGAATAGTGCAACTCCCTAGCACCAAGAATGCACCTCCATCTATTTTTCAAAACGCCATTGGTGCGTTCAACTACATTGCGGCACTTTGAATGGATTTCATTGAATTTAATTTCAACTGATTCATCCTGTGGACATCTATGAGGGGTCAAAAGCCACGGTTCTAGAGAATACCCTGCATCTCCTAGTAAAAAATAAAATATTAATTTGTGAATACTTTCTGTTGTCATTCAAAACCTTACCAAGGAGCCAATATTTACTACCGCCTGTTCGATAGACTTCCTCAAGGTGGGCTCGCAACTCGCTGGTATTCCAAATGAATGAATCGTGGCACGCCCCAGGATGCGATGCATCCACGTACTGAATCCTCAACTCATGATCACACACCTGTAATTTTTGTTGTTGTTAAAAATCAATTATTGATCATTCCGATGAATATCTTGAACACAAACAATCAGCGAAACTACTTACCAGCATAACATTCAAACTATAGTAGCCCTTCCTGTTGTAATATAAGTGCTTATTGGCGGAGGGAGCAATAATGCGGACATGTGTTCCGTCAACGCATCCTATAACGCTCGGAATGCCATGCTTTATATAAAGCGCTAAAGCAATTTTACGTTTCTCCTCTTCCGTTCTGCAGAACCTTATCCATTTTGGGCAGAGATGTTTCTCAAATATATTTATGACTTCCGTGAGAACTTTGCTAAGACTACACTGGGCCACAGACACGTCGCAATCTTTTCCTATGCCTGTTTGGTACCCGCCTTCCGCAAAGAAGCGTAGAGCCGCACTTAGTTTCACAACAGGAGAAACTGCAAATGACTTACGTTTAGGTTGAATGTTGGAAGTTAACACGCCCAACAGATACTTGAATGCCGGTTTGTTTACCCTATAATATTTTTCAAATCTTTGAAAAGTAAGATTCTTGTTAATAAATAAAATTTAATAATAGTTTATTCATGTATGTACTTACAAAGATTGAGGCAACTCAAGTGGGTTGATGGCATCGCGTAACCTTCTCCTTTCTATCCTTTGCATATTTTTCTCCTGCTGCTGCACTTCAGCGTTTTCTGCATCAGCTAGCATCACAAACGCAACACTAAACATTTTTAAATTGTTTTTTTATAGTTCTTTTTTTATTTTTAATCACTTTATGCTTTTGAAGTCATAAAAATATTTGCAAATTGTTAGCCAAACAAAACAGCTGACGCAAAACAGCTGACTTCGAATAATCGAAATTCTCTCTCCCTTATTACCATTCTCCCCGTTTGTTTAGAATAGGAGGATTTTATTCCCGGGAAAAATAATCTCCCCGGGAATAATCTCCCGGGGAGTATTCAGAATCGGGCTGTATATTCCGCTGCGAAAAAAAGCTTGATGGGAAAGGAAAATACGATAAGAACACAATTTAGTACTCAGTGATATTGAGCAGGTGCTTTTGCAACATAACTCGAAAATAGGACACCGCAATGCAAACAATAGCGAAGAATGACAAACGAAAACCCAGAATTAGTAATGACAAATATTTCATTTTTTTTTGTGCAGTACATGGTTTCTATAAAAATCTTAAAACTTACAATAACTGACTAACTTATCGTAGTTATGAATTCCGGGGGTTTATGGTTTAAGGACGAACATGAACTTGAACAAGAAGGATTTTGAGAGCGTTTGGGTTATTCGAAATTTCGATGTTGGGATTCTGCTGATCCGGTTCGAGCCCTAGTTTTAAAAAAATCGGCTACCTTAATGGGCTTTAACCAGAGATATTTTGGAGTAAGTTGGAGTTATATATCATCTATCACAAATATCGGAATTTGTGAAATTCGAAGAGAATCGGGTGATTTTTTTTTTCTAATTTTATAAGCGTTTTGATTTTTAAAATGTTGATCCTTTGTGGGGGAAGTACCAGAAGGAGTCTTCCGATAATGTCCATTATAGCACCTGACCTGGCACTGATAAAATATCACGACAGGCAAAGTTGAAGCAAAATTCGAATAACTATCTTCTTTTTATGGGGTAAATTATTCTCTATGGAAAATTTGGACCTCTTGTGTGGGATGTTGATTTTGCTCATCTTCAAAAACTTCAATATGAAAAATGATTTACCGATTTTTTCTATACTTCGCTCATTTGTGAAGATGGAAAATACGGGACTCCTTCCAGTTCCTAGACAATAATGGATCAAAATTGTAAATAACACAGTGTGAAAATTCTTTTTTTCATTATAATGATAAAAGCTGTAGATTACACTTTGCGATAAAGTTAAACTTTTTCAGAAAAAAACCTAATAGATTCTAATAGCAGAGCTAACAAAAAAGAAGATACATGCCTTCGGCGCTTTGAAAGTTTACATCGCAAAGAAACCAAAATAGATGCGACCAGTTCCGCCACTCTTCTTTCTCCAAAGATTCGAAATTTTGTGAATTGTATTAAATTTCTTACATTTTAAGTTTATAGTGTCATCTGCATTAAAACAGATAACTCTCTCTAACTCTCAAGCGAAACACAAAAGAAGTCTTTTTGGTCCTTATTTAAAAATATGAATAAAAACTCCCTTTTAAACGCGATCGTAGCATGACAAGATATTCTACAAATTTATTTTTCTTAAAACTCTACTATAACTCCTAGAAGACTTCAAAAGTCTAAATCTTACCTAAACGGTGTCAATGTAGCCAAAAAACCGAAAATATTTCCCAAATTTTTGATTTCTCGTTCTTTTTTTTTTTTTGAGCGTGAAAGTAATCCAAAATTTAGTTTAAGACAGAAAGTTTCATAAAAGGAAATATTCTACACAAAATTTCACTGCAAATCTCAGAATAAACCATATATCTGGATTTAATCGTTTCGTCACTCGAAAGTGGTGTTTAACAGGTGAAAATTATGTGTTTTTGGTTGCTAACTTAACACGTTTAAATTCTTAAGGCTAGTATACACATAATTGGTCTGTTCCAGGACTGCAAGAAAGTAAAAGTTGTCACTACGATAAACGATTTTCCCTTTATGATATCGAAGAAAATTTCAAAACTAGTAGACTCTTGCAGGTACTGGAACAAATGTTAAGTCATATGTAAAGCTAAATTCTTTACATTTATTGTATGTATATTTATAACATGCGCTTCAACAATTGTTTTTCTGAAAGAAATCATAAAAACTGGCCTTTAGGGGGAAGTTTCTTTGATACTTGAATATTGTAGATCAAATTTCAATATAAGTCTCTGAACAGAAGAAGTTTGTCTATCTACCATAAAAAATATTATAATTTTTGGTTTATAAAATACTTTCTTTATTTTCGACAAATTTAACACATTTTCCAAATTCGCTGCAAATATTCTTAAAATTTCACTGTCCTGCGAATGAAGTTATTGAAATTTCAAGATATACATATATATCAGTTTGTACATTAAAACTCCGAAAAAGTTTGGGTTCTCATTCGAAACCTTAGCCTTAACCCCACACACATGAAGGGACCGCAATATGTTGAACTTTATTTCGCAACATTAAATTTAGACCTTTGAAATTGTATAAAGAGCTTTGGATTACTTCGAGAATTATTGATATAAAACACGGGCCTTGTTGGTCGCGACATTTTTATATTTTAGTCATATTCTCCATTTAATTTTACCAATTTGTTTTTTTTTTTTTCTGCAATCTCCAGGCTATCCAATATTTCTAACAAGATTTGATCTAATGTAAAGATGATTTTATGTCGGCCCACTGTTTCTCGTGTCCAAATTTGGGTGCATAAATTTCAATTTTAATTCTTTTTGGTCTTCAAAACTCTTCCCATTTTGGTTGTGACCTAGGAATAAATCGAATGTGGACTTGAACTATTAAAACACTGCAAATCTCAAACTAAATAAAACAGTTCCTGGATGATCCAACATTCCATATCATAATATTGCCATAATTCTCGTCTAGTTAAAATCGTAATATCATATAGATATCCAATTAAAGGCCCGATTACATATTTTATTAAAGTCGTACGTAAATTGCCTTTTTCTTATTTTATATTATAGCATACTTTTAGGAGCTCCCAACAATTTTTAAACTTTAATGTAACTCAACACAATAAAATCTTTATATTATACATTACTATAAATATATTTATAGTTTATTTATTATATTTATATTAATTTGTACTAACCCATATATAAAGAATTTCCTTTCACATTGAAAACTCTCTCTAGAAACATGCTATAAAAATGCCACAGATAATTGTGGGAAATGTGACTTTGCATATGACTCTAACATTATGTGTAATATAGCCTTAAACTAAATAATTATTGTGGAATCTGTAATTGGAGTTAATATCTCTTTTATCCCAATCCTTTAGGTACTTTCCACAAAAATTACAGAAAATTGAATATTTGTAAAATTTTTAGAAGTTTACGGAAATGTTTCTATCATTTTAAGGCTTGCTTTGTTCAAAATTCTTACCTCTAGCTGAGGACATACTGCTGCCACCTTCTCTCTAAAAAATATTGTTATATTTTTGTAATAAGATCACCTCGAAATATATATATTTGTACAAAAAGAGTCCACAACATTTTCCATCTAAATTAATGTTTAAGTTAACATTTTTTTCGGTTGTTATTTTCTTTTCTTTTCACATTAAAACAATCAATCTCTACCTACTAATCTTAACTAACCAACTCTAATCTATCACTGGACCAACTTTGAAT